ATGGGTGTTTTTCTTGAATCCAGGAAAAAAGGTCACAAGAAAAAAAGTCAAAGGAAAAAAGGCACGGAAAAAACCTAACCTAACCCAACCCAACCTAACCTAACCTATCCTAACTTAACCTAACCTAACCTAACTTAATCTGACCTACGTGCAATGCCATCATATATATATAATGTGTTGTCAATGTTTACAAGTCATGTGACTTTTTTTCCTGTGACTTTATTTCCGTGTACCGTTTTTCTTAGCACTTACAGGAGAGACCTCATGATACAAAGGCCTATATAAAAATAATGTGTACAATTAGGTGTCATTTTAGAGAAACAAAAATTCTTCATAAATTAAATCGAGTGTAGAAGTCAGTGTCAACGATAGATGTTAAGGATCACCCAGCTTAACTTTAGGGTCAATCAGATGTTCAAAGATGGCACGATACCGTTTCTGGAGCTTAATTGTCCACCAGAGATATTCCTGTTGTGTTTATGGGACTATCACTGTGGAACTCTAAGGTTTGAACAGAGATTCACTTGAAACGGGAAGACATATGACTCACAAACATATGTTATTAATGCTTCCTGCCTACGCACATAGACAAAATATTATCGTCTCTTACACACACAGACACACACACAGACACACACACACACACACACACACACACACACACACACTATTAACGTTTCTTTCATACACTCATAGACACAATTTTAATGTATCCTGTATACATACATAGATATTCATTTAAAGTGCCCTGTATACACACATAGACACAATACATATTATATCATTATGTCTATATCAAATGTAAGTCTGTATATTTTCAGCCACCGGCTACAACTCTATTAATAAACCGTTTATTATTATTATTATTATTATTATTATTATTATTATTATTATTATTATTATTATTATTTATTAGTACTATTGGCGCTTGTCCACACACAAACACACATAGAGGACGATAAACTATATCGTGCCAACTATAAACCAAGAAGGAGCTCCTTTAATTTCTTCTAGATCTGTTATAATATCATTTTACGATCACCTCCACTTTTATTCATTTTTCCTGTAAGACTTTACATCAGGACCCGCTAAGGTGCTGCTGACGCCGATCCTCGTAAATTTTAGTCAAGTCTGAGGCTTCGTCAACACTGTTGAAGGTTAACTCGTGGCGTCATAGAGTGTAGGACAAAAGCCCCCCTAGGAGAAAAGCCCCCTAGGACAAAAGCCCCTAGGACAAAAGCCACCTAGGACAAAAGCCCCCTAAGACAAAAGCCCCCCAGGGGAAATAATATTTTTTGTTTAAATAATTATTTTATTTTTTTACAGCTAATGAACACTTCTCTAACCAAACCTAACCTAGCCTAACCTAACTTAACCTAACCTAACCTAACCTAACTTAACTTAACCTAACCTAACCTTCGGGAAATCTGTTATAGTTATAAAGAAGTATACAAGGAATGTTGATTAAATCTGCAATGACGTATGTCTTGTCTACTGGGGTAATTACTCCCCTGACATTCAGTGACCTCACTGTAGTCACCTCAGTAAATACAGAATGAAGTTGAAGGTAAAATATGTCGTATTTTTTCTTTTCTATTTATTTGATAGTGTTATATATCAAAATTGAAAGAGTAATAATATTCTAATTATTTAAGTGGAAATAATTTCATATTTAAATCTATATATTTTTAATATTTCTAATGACCCTCTCTTTAACATAAAAACAGGGGGCTTCTGTCCTATTTTGCACTTTTACTGAGGGGCTTTTGTCCTAGGGGCTTTTGTCCTGGGGGCTTTTGTCCTAGGGGGCTTTTGTCCGGGCCCCGGCGTCATAACAGGTGATACCTTGCTCTTCGCCAGTGGCCAGCTGGTATCTGGAAATGAATCTAACCTCCGTATAAAATAAAGAAAATATGTTTCTTATTTGCAAAAGTTGTTTGCTAAGTTCATCTCAAGAAATGCTCGCCAAGAAACTCACGCTTTGTTAACTTTCAAAACATAATTAATTTTTCAGAAGTTTCTCAAACTACGATTTACATTTCCACTGAAATAATAGTCCGTGTTTTTACGAAAAATCTATAACAGTCTTAGTATGAGAGGCCAGAAATATGTAGAATGGTTTAAGAACTTTAGGTAATGTTGACACTCATACATCTATACAACGAGCCCTGACACGTGAGCTGTACAACAATACCAATATACTTTTGGTCTCCCAAGCTCCTTCAATCTACCCATTACCTTTACTCCTTCCTATTTTACTTGTGTGTAGAGAGTATCAAGGGGCACAAAAACCTTGGAGAAATGAAGGACCATTGACGCAAGAGAAGTGTACAGAGCAAAAGGAAACATGTATTATAAAGAATTAGTACCCACTCATAATTGTTCGTTTCTTCAATTATACGTAATGTACAGATTATTCCTCTAACAAAACAAGAGCACAAAGTCACAAGAAAGTGCTAAGCCTACAAGTAATACTACACGCACATACTTTTTTATATCGTCTATATAAATCCACAATATACTATGCAAAGTGAATTTTAGTTTTCCCAACAACTGAAAAAGAGAACACCAATATTAAGTTTAGAGGGAATGAGATATCAGCACACGTCGCCATATTGAACCTTAGTGGTCACATAAAGGTGTCGAAGAGGGATCCTATCTTATGATTCCTTACCTCAGAGATTGGATCCTTTCCCGCGAAAGTCCACAAAGGATTGGATGGGCACAAAATGTCTTGCCAATGAAGACTGGATATCGAGTTTGATCAGCGGGAGGAATGAATTCAATGGTAGGTTTAAAGGAGGATTGGTTCTGATTCATGATTGGTTCACAGAAGGATGGGTTCGATGACGGTTTTCACAATGGGATACCGGCCCATGCCCTTAAAGGGTTCAAAAGGGTAACAGACCATCCCCAGAATATTAGTTAAATACTAACTAACTGTCATAGGGAACAGCTCTGCTCACACTACCGAGTGTTGGGTAACTACTAACTATCTTAAGGCACAGCTACACTCACACTACCGAGTATTGGGAAAGTACTAACTGTCTTAGGTCACAGTTACACTCACACTACCGAGTGTTGGATAAGTACTAACTGTCTTAGGGCAGAGCTACTGTACACTCACACTACCGAGTGTTGGGTAAATACTAACTGTCTTTGGGCGCAGCTACTGTACACTCACACTACCCCAGGCCACGCCCAAGGGAAGGCCTCAGTAAGCACTGTGTCTTGTGTACGAGTAAGCACTGTGCGATAACGTGTTTTGACTGGAGCTTGTTACGGGACGTATCAAACTCCGGTCTAAACAAAATCCCGGATCCCAACATCCTGACTCAAAACACAAAACAGAGTGTCTCAATTAACTATTGGAAACAATAAATAATTAAACTAAGTAGTACTGTACTGTGCTGTACTGTACTGTACTGTACATGGGGCCCGGACAAAAGCCCCCTAGGACAAAAGCCCCCTATGACAAAAGCCCCTAGGACAAATGCCCCTCAGTAAACGTGCAAAATAGGACAGAAGCCCCCTGTTTTTACGTTAAAGAGAGGGTCATTAGAAATAATAAAAATATATAGATTTAAATATGAAATTATTACAATTTAAATAATTAGAATATAACAACTCTTTCAATTTTGATATAGAACATTATTAAATAAATAGAAAAGAAAAAAGACGACATATTTTACCTTCATGTTCATTCTGCCTTTACTGAGGTTACCCTAGGGCCCATGAGGTCACTGACTGTCAGGGGAGTAATTACCCCAGACAAAACATACGTAATTGCAAATTTAATCAACATTCCTTGTATACTTCTTTATAACTATAACAGAATTCCCGAAGGTTAGGTTAGGTTAGGTTAGGTTAGGTTAGGAAAGTGTTCATAAACTGTAAAAAAATAAAATAATTATTTTAAAAATTCTTATTATTTCTCCTGGGGGACTTTTGTCCTACACTCACTGCACATACTAACCCGAAAAAATATTATTGTGATATTGTACACATCCTTCAACTAACACCCATAACCTGTCAGATATGAATATCATTTGTTCTCTCTGAGAATTTCACGATTTTTTTTATAAACTGTCGATTCCTTTTATCTCACCATTGATATTTAGATTCTGAAATTGCCTCAGGAGTGTTCCCAAATATAGACTCAAAAGGACTTGAAAGGTAACAACTAAGAAGAAGAATTTGAGTTATTTATGGCGTAATATGAATGGGCCTCTAGTGCGTTCCTTCCCGCCTTTGTTGACGAAGCTGCCAACGTTCACCAGACACTACCACCACACAACTGACTTCACTGCGGGATACTGGCGTTATTACTTTATATTAGAGTTGTTGGTATTGCAGTTGTTATTATTATTATTATTACAACAATAGGAACGTCTACTACTACTGCTGCTGCTGCTATAATTATTACAATTAATATAATTAAGTTTATTTCAATTATTTGTTGTTCATGTTGTGGTCGTTGATGTTATTCGTATAGCAACTATAGCTGTTATTTCTATTCTCATTCGGGTTTCGTATCAAAGATTCAAAGTTAGTATGATATTGATTTTGGAAACTGTGTAATAATAATAATAATAATAATAATAATAATAATAATAATAATAATAATAATTATAATAATAATAATAATAATAATAATAATAATAATAATAATAATAATAATAATAATAATAATAATAATAATAATTAACTGTTTACGGAACAGCATAGCAGCCAAAGCTTAAATTATATCATGGCCAAAAGTTACATACCACACACTGTATACTGTGAGTGTGTGTGTGTGTGTGCGATCAAGTCAAAATATCAGCCTCGTGTTTCTCATTATTCACTCAGTTCCACCATTAATAAAATTCCGATATCAACAACAACAACAACTGTTACTTGAAAAATCACCATAATTACTTAGCCCGTGTCCAACGCGAGACTGCTTATGTACACAGAAAAACGTACACGTTCATACATACATAACACAAGGCCCGCCATACCAGCGTTTGTATACATGATTGTACTATTTCCTTTAGTGAAACTGAATTGCATGTCAATTGTTTCAAATTCCTTTCAGAAAATTAATTTATCGCTTAGTACAAGTTTTATAAAAACAAAAGTAGTGATGAAAAATAACTCAGCAGTGAACGAATGGCTAGAAAGACCGAAAGGAGAAATACCGGACGACAAAGCCAAACCGAGTATCGAGAAAATTTTGTGTAGTCCCCCGTGAGGCATCAAGCCAAGCCAAGTACCAATGCCTTGCCAGGTGCAGTTAATTATACCGTTGTCACCTTTTGTTTTCATTTTGTTTTACGGCTGTGGTTCTTCAGTATGGCTTGCACGCTGCTCCGCATCGTCCAGGCAGCCGTAAATCTAAGGAGGAGGTTTGAATGTGCCTTACAGTCTTCGTTCGATTCCGTAGAAAGTGGCGACGTTGGCGAGGAGCGAGACGATCACGCTAACACTGAAGAAAATGGACAAACTCGGGCTGGCGAAGAAGACATGAACACAAGCGAGCAACTGTCTCAGAATTTTCAACTTTCGTTCACAGAAGCAGATGAGGAGATAGAAAACATAGGTGAACCCATTCAGACAACGACAGACGACATTACCTCGCACAGAATGACGTTCATTCATTCACAAGACAATCACGGCTCCGAGAACACAGAAAATGGAGCCTATAAAGATGCTGCCACATCCAGCTCGATTGAAATCATCGAAGAAAACGAGTTTATCTCAATAACCAAAGAAAGTGAAAACTCTGAACCACAAGCTGAAGAAAATAACGAAAGTCTCACAGAAATGGACAAAAATGCATTAACAATGAAGAAAAGCCAGGGAGGCGCTAACCGAAAGATTCCTCTAGTGCAAGTTAACGAAATTAGTGGCTCAGATAAGAGTAGCGACAGTGATAGTGATAGTCGGTGTAGTATTAAATCAGTGAGATTACGTTACGCCGATGCCGTGTCGCCCTCTAGCGGGTGTAAACCAGCTAAGCTAATCAGAAGTGACGCGCTCGAAACAAATGCGGAAAAAGAATCGAATAATTTGCAGTGGATTTTATTGGTGAAAGAGTCGGGTTCTGAACTAGTGAAAGACAGTGATAAGGAAAATGGAGATAGTAACACCGAAAGTGATCTTGATAAAAGCGAGTTGTTAGGATATTCGGAGTGGCTGCTTAAAGGAAAAGAAAGTTTAGAGGCAGAAAACTCTTCTGATGAGAGCGACATTAATATTGTGAGTCCTGGTACAGACGAGGACAAGGAAGAGAATGACAGCGAAAATTACCTAGAAGACGACGACGAGCTCATGGCTGACGAATCCTTCGACGAATCCTTTGTGGATGACGGGTTCGTCAGCCTGGAACTGGAAGAGTACGATGATAACGTTATCATCGAAGAAAATGAAGAAGACTTAGAGAGAGAGAGAATAGAGGAGGAGATGATGGAGGACATGAGAAGATACTTCCAACAAGGGTAAGTACATGTTTATTAAGGTGTCTAGAGAATATATTAACAGTGTGTTTATTGAAAAAGTTACCAGTACGTCTATGTGTATGTGTAGGGAAAATACTGACTATGTGTATAACTGTATATGTGTGTGTGTGTGTGTGTGTGTGTGTGTGTGTGTGTGTACAAAAGAGCTGTTTGAAATAGTTTCAGCATTTCTATATATTATTACTGCTGTCTATCAGTTTACTAACCAATCTAAGGTATTCTGAGTTGTTTGTAGCCCTTACCTATCTGCCTGGATAAAAAGTTACCTTCTCTCAGGTTAGGGTCATCTTAACACTGCTGGTATGCTGACCACAATGTCAAGCTTGTATTCCTTGTATCAGTCATGGGAAGTCTATGAACTTGTTTTCTTGTCTTGCTTAGATGTCGGTCTTCATCGGTTCAGTTTAACACCAGGCAGAGTGGCAATGCTACATGTTATTTGGCCAAAATTGGACTATGGTTAGAAATAAGATCAGTGACTACGTCATAGCTACGAGTTTTGTATAACAGGTTGAATCCAACACTCTAGTATAAAGCCTCACCACAAACGTTTGCTGGTATGATCAATGATTTGGACATTATCATATGCATTTAGTATTGAGGTAAGTCTCCTATCATTGATATTGGTGGTAAGGTCACCAAACTTCTTGTGTCTAGTGGTTTCAGTGTGTGCAAAATAAAATATGTCCATATACTGAAGATGATCAGAGGAAACCTTGGCGTTTATTAGTCTGAGTGTGTACTTACCCAGGTGTATTGTGACTCCATGAAAATGTTTATTAGTGATGTTTTTTTAGCACAAGACATGTGTTGACAAAACTTTGATCGTGATATACAAAGTTAGGCAGACTGGACAGTGGTTTACCAGTACGTGCGAGACATTCACTAAGACACACAATGTCATTCTAGCTCACAAACTGGTAATAGAGGTCTGAGTACCATTATTTTTAATTCACTGTACATTTGTTTGGTATTACAGTTACATTGGCTACCATCGTCACGTTTAAAGAGGAGCTGAACACTATATGACGTGTTATTCTCAGTTGTCTGATTGTACATAATAATGTTAATAGTGTGTCCATGTGTGTGGGTGCGCGCGCGCGTGTGTGTGTGTGTGTGTGTGTGTGTTAGATTTTTTTTAATTTTGTCACTTACAGCGGCTAATTTATTGTGCATCCCATACTCGTCCTGTGAGCTATAGCGCAAAAGGATTACAGAGCAGGGTTCACAGTGGTCAGGATATTATGGCATTGAATGTTGCAAAGTATTTTGAATAAATTTTCTGCTTAGTTCTGTACATAGAAGATGACTTATTCGTAACTGCGTGAGTACAGCAGTGTGAGGCAGTATGTCTGGCCGCACACTTTGTTATTCACATTTGCGTGAGAGGTAATGAAGCACATTGTGTATTTGGTTCTATACATGGGAAATGATATAGCTACTTAGTGAAAAAAAGTGGATACAATCTTAATTTGCCAGCTATCTTGCCAATAGAGATAGAGTGTTGTGCCATTTCACTCACAGAGTGATTGGACCTGTCCCTAGAAGGTTCTATCTTCACACAGTCGAGGAAGTAGTGTTCGAAATGTCTGTCCACACACTTTGCATTTACCACTTCAGCCAGTCCGCGTTCGACATGCGCACCGTGAAACGTCAACAAAGGCTGTGAGTGAGCTCTCCCTACAATTCCCAATTCTGATGAATTTAGTGAGACGACTACCTTCAGTCTGTTTAGAGAACTAAAGTGGAGCCCAGTTGTAAGCACAGTGTCCCTTGTGAAATTTATAGTTGTTGGACTTGACAATATTTTAGATAAAATATCTGGACTTCCTGCCTGGACCCTCTGGTCGGTTATTTTCGTATCTGCGCATGCGCAGTGCGAAGAGCGTGACGTTGAATGACGTGGTAGTGACGTCGTTGCCTCTCCATCTCGCCTGTGACCGAACACAAGCATTGCACAATGCCTGGGGAGAGTAGTGGGCAGAAACCTATGAAGGCTTTGGCTAAAGAAGAAAAGATTGCCCTACTGAACAGCTTAGAAGACGACCTGAGGCTTTCAAGTAGTGAATCAGAAGCAGACAATCCGCGGCCAACAACAATAGAAGTGATAGACAATTTTCAAGAAGTGATTAGTAAGAAAGAAAAGAAGAGGAGGCGAGAGGAGGCGAAGAAAAGTGAAGGAAGCGACAGTGATGAGATCATGAATGATAGGAAGAAAAGGACGACACACACAGAAGGAAGCAGAAAGAATTCAACTGGGAATAAAACACAGCAGGTCTTGACTGAATCCAACACCCTTCAAGAGTCAGACCCCAGTGATTATGACAGTGAAGGTAATGTTTCTATGGGAAACACTAGCCACAGTGGAAACAGCAATGCCATGGACCCTATCACCCTGCCCTCTGCCAAACAAACAAGTAAGCTGAATCTCCACTTTCCCAAGGACTCATTAAAATCTGTCGAGGATCGGTTTAATTGGATGATGAAGTACTGCAGACAGCATGGTCCCAACATTCAATTCCGACAGGGTAAGAACCGGAACTTTATCAAGTGTCAGACTCCTGAAGTCTATAAAACCCTTAGTACTGTTGGCTTTGACGGGGTTGTCCTAGTGGCCCCTCCAGCAGACGCTGATGAATGTTGCCACATCCTAGTGAAACGATTCCCCCTATACGCTGACATCGAAGATGCACGTGACTTTAATTCTAATATACTCAGTATACGTCGACATTACCGGGGACACACTCCACAAGCTGCTGTTATTGTCAAGTGGAAGGGAAGGGTATGTCCAACCACTGTGGAAGCCCATCCAATCCTTCCACCACTTTATGCAGAGCCCTATCATCCTGGGCCTGCATTTTGTGTTATCTGCTCTCATTGGGGTCACACCTTCACTGCCTGCTGCCGACGTGATCGTCCTAGATGTCGCTTCTGCTCACGTAACCACAACTCTGCCGCCTGTGCCCAGAAAATCAAAGACCACCTTAATAGGGGTGGTGTAGGCTATGTAGTTGAGCCCAGGTGCTGTAACTGTGGCGGCCGGCACAATGCTGACTCACGGCAGTGCCCCAGTCGCCCTTCTGTCCCAGAGGAGAGGCCTCCCCAAGGGCTGCGTCTACCACAACGCCCCCCTCAGTCTACTGGGTCACCTGCCCCTGCCTGGCTTCACCAGGCTGCACCACAACAGCACCTACCATTCCCTAACTCAACCACTACTGAGCCTCCTCCCCGACTCTACTCTGACGCTATCAAGCCTCGTGTTCCCACCAGTTCCCCCCCAACAACCCCGTCGCTACTCTGACGCAGTCAAGCCTTGTGCCGCCACCAGTGCCCCCCCACAACCCCGTCTCTACCCTGACGCTGTCAAGCCTTGTGCCACCACCAGTGCCTCCCCACAACCCCGTCTCTACCCTGACGCTGTCAAGCCTTGTGCCGCCACCAGTGCACCCCCACAACCCCGTCTCTACCCTGACGCTGTCAAGCCTTGTGCCGCCACCAGTGCCCCCCCACTACCCGTCTCCAGTGACATGACACAGATCATGTCCCTCTTCCAAGAATTTACCAGTCATGTTGAGAAACTCTTGGTTACACTCTGTACCGCCATCTCCGACCTACACCGCCAACTCCTGCCCTTTGCTGCCACCCAGTCACTCCCCTCTTTTGGTTTGACACAAGCTGGTAGTCCCCCTGTGAGCCCCCCCTGCTCACAGGTTGTGTGTACTGGGGCCCCCGAGCCAAGCCCTGCCTCATCTTTACGTCACGTGGTGCCTCAACCTGTCTACCCACCTCAAGCCTCGCCTGCTCCTGTGTCTATGCTGTCTCCACCAGGGCTACCTGTTGGACCTGAGGACTCCACCCCCGGCTACCCATACTCCACCGACATGCCGGCACCTAAGGCCCATCCGTCCAAGTCAGGGGTAATCAGTCTAATACACCACAATGGATAGCAACGCTACAGGACTGCAGGTACTCACCTGGAACATAAACGGCTTGCAAAGCAAGTTTGGTGCCCTCAAAACCTACGTCTACACTGAAGACGTCGACGTGCTGTGCCTCCAAGAAACGCGGTGTGCTGCTGGTACCTATGTGCTCAGTGGCTACACAGGTGTTGAGAGCCCATCCACTCCTGTTCTCCGCATCGACGGACTACCACGAAGCCATGCACGTGGACTACGGATCTACGTCAAGAAGGATGTCCCCTACCAACCTCTCGACGCCCCCCTTGATGACGAAACCACCGACGCACATGCCATCATAATCACACTAAAAGGTATGTCCCTCAATATTGTCAATCTCTATGTGCCTCCCTCCACCCCTACTGTACCTGTCCTACCACACCATATCACCTCCACCCCCACCCTCCTTGTGGGGGACCTCAATGCCCGTCACCCTAGTCTCGGCTCCCAGGGGCCCCACTCAAACTCCCGGGGTAACTCCTGGCTCTCCTACCTACAAACCACCGATGACCCTGTACGTCTTCTCTGCCCTCCATCACCCACCCACATCGGGGGAGGGAAACTTGACTTCATAGCTCTCTACTCTGACCCTCACCGCCCACACTCCACCCGCATCCTCCACTCCCCCCACAGTGACCATTTCCCTATCCACACTACCCTCCAGTATGTGAGAATACCCGTTCCATCCAAGGGCCCTAGGCTCAGGCTACCCCCTGCCAACATACCTGCCTTCATCACTTCCATTGCTGAATGGTTTCAGGGTTACACTGTCACCACCGCAGACCAACTCTACCTTGATCTGTCCAAACAATGCACTGACCTCCTCCGCCCTGTCCCAAAACACCGCCGCCCTAACCGCCAGCCCAGGAGTCAGTGGAACGTTAACCGTGACCCTCATGTTAAGTCTATCCGAGTATGGCACCGAATAGCAGTCGACCAGTGGAAGAAATCTCCCAGCTCCCCTGACTCTCTACGCTTCCTGATGCGCACAAATATAGAGCTCCAATCTGCCATCACTCTCAC